TCTCACTGATGCTCATCGATACCTCAAGGGGCTCAGGATGGGCCCAGACTCTGCTCGGTTGTGCCCAGCATCAGGACAAGGGGCAATGGTCACAAACTGGGACACGGGAGGTTCAGCCTCAACACAGGAAAAACTTCTTGATGTGAGGGCACAGAGCATGGCCCAGGCTGTGGAGAGGTTGTGGAGTCTCCTTCTCTGGGGACACCCAAAGCCCTGGACATGCTCCTGGGTGACTGCTCTGGTGATCCTGCTCTGAGTGGTCTCCAGAGATCCCTTCCCAGCCCAGTCTGTGATCTGTGATCTGTGACTGTTCCTGACTGGGACCTGTGGGCAGTGCAGGGATCTTGCGGTGCCACGGTGCGGGCAGAGCTCGGGTGCACATTGTCCCAGCTCTGTTTTCCAGCCTCTTCCCCAAACCCACCTCACTTCCTCTGCACTACAGCCTTACCAGGATGGGCTCGATGTGTGCCTGAGGTTTGTTGGCAGTTTAATACCCGGAACAGGCTCCTTCTGCTTTGCCAAATGCCAGGCCTGCTCCTGAAGTTGGAGCTCCAGAAAACGCCCCCTGTTTCCAGCACTGGGCTGCCCAAGGGCTCTTTCCATGCCCCAAAACCCCTCACGTCCCTGGAGGTCACCCCTCTCCCCTCTCCCCTCCACCAGGGCTCCGGGGACGTGAAGTACCACCTGGGCATGTACCACCGGCGGATCAACCGCGTCACCGACAGGAACATCACCCTGTCCCTGGTGGCAAATCCTTCTCACCTGGAGGCGGCCGATCCCGTGGTTCAAGGCAAGACGAAAGCAGAGCAGTTTTACTGTGGGGACACGGAGGGGAAGAAGGTGAGTGGTGCTGAGATGCCCGCAGGGAAGTGCCCCGGCACTGCTGTCACCGTGACTGTGCTCCCCTGGCTCTGGGGATGGCTTTGGTTGGGGCTCCCCCACCCCGGGCTCCCTTTGCCACTTCCTCCATCTCCGAACATTTGCGGGGATCAGCAGATCCCAAAGCCCTTGTTTGAAGGCAGGCAAAGAAGGGGCAGGGATCACCGTTCAGGGCTGGGATCACCATTGATGGGCTGGGATCACCGTTCAGGACTGGGATCACCATTCATGGCTGGGATCACCATTGATGGGCTGGGATCACCGTTCAGGGGTGGGATCACCATTGATGGGCTAGGATCACCGTTCAGGACTGGGATCACCATTCATGGCTGGGGTCACCCTTGATGGGCTGGGATCACCGTTCAGGACTGGGATCAGCTGCAGGCACTGTCCTCGGGACGGCACCAAAGGGATGGCACGGCGCCTGCAGTCTGGGAGTGAAACGTGGGGGCAAGGGGCATTTTCCTCATCCTCCTTGGTGATGAAAGGCTTTGCTTTGGGCTGTGCGTGGTTGGGAACGGGTCTCGCTGTGGCTGTGCTGGCTCTCACGGTGCCTGTGCTGACCGTGGTCCCCGGAGGAAGCACCCGGCTGCTCCCCGTCCTTCCTGGGGTGACGCTTGGGCTCTTCCCCCCTGCTGAGCACCGCGGTTTTGCCCCGGCAGGTGATGTCCATCCTCCTGCACGGAGACGCCGCCTTTGCCGGGCAGGGCATCGTGTACGAGACGTTCCACCTGAGCGACCTGCCCTCCTACACCACCCACGGCACCGTCCACGTCGTGGTCAACAACCAGGTGAGGGCAGACCCCGGCCCGAGCCCCCATCCCAGGGTCAGCAGGGGGGAACCTCGTACCCCGCTGCTGTTCCTGGCTGGGGTCAGCGGGGGGTACCCAAAGGGGCCTGACCTGACGCAGGGCTGCTGCGAGATGGTGCAGGGTCCCCGTGCAAACCAGAGGCGTTTTGGTGGGAGCAGCGCGTCCCCATGGGCGCAGCGGGGTCATGGGCCGATGGGCTGCGTGTTCGGGGTGTGCCCCAGCTGAGGGACGCAGCCGCGGGGGAACCCCAGCGCCCTGGGGAGCCGCTTTCCAAACCCTCAGCGCCACTCCCGTTCCCTCTCCTCCGCAGATTGGCTTCACCACCGACCCCCGCATGGCCCGCTCCCCCCCGCAC